GGGGACGACGGGGCGCAGCCCGGACGCCGCTCGACGCGAGCCGGAGCGCGGCCGCGTGTAACTCTACACGCGGCTCCGCTCAGGGGTGGAAGCTGAGGAATGCCTTTTGTTTGGACAACTTTTCCTGAGGAATCTGCGGACTTCTCCTTGGGACGGTCCCCGTCGCCCTAGGGCGCCGTTTCCCCCAAGGTCAAAGTCTTTGGCTTCTCTTTGCCCAGGCTTGGGGGTAACCGGAGTGGACGAGCGTCGGCCCATCCCGTCTGTCAAGCGGAGACCCTGATGCCTGCCCTGCCACAGCCCGTTGGGTAGGGACTGGTTCTCAGGGTCCTGGGGACTCCAGAATAGACCGCCTCACTTTCCCTGGTTCTGGGGAAAAAAGAGCAGCAAAGAGCTTGTCCTGCAGCTGTGACCAAAACAGTTAGAGCTAGCTGTCTCCTCCCACATCTCACCTATTTCTAAACCGTTTCTTCCGGCTTGAGGGTGATCTGGCTGCAATATCTGTCACCCCATTGATCGCCAGATTGATTCGGCTGGCAGGTGCCCTTGCCTCCCTCACACTCCATGTGCGACCCTCACGACACGCTCGGTGGAAGAGGGCGACCACCCGCGATAGAGGGGGACAGTGTCCTCAGTAAAGGGTGGAGGAGCAGCTGCACTCCTCTGCCAGTACCTCCAAACAAGCTTTCAAGGTCCAAATCTGTCTGTTCCACAAAAGACGGAAACAGTAACAGAGAACTCAGGAGATTGAGGAATCTCTACAAAAATGAAGTGCTCATTTATTTTCCCTGCAGCCAATAGGCACGGGGTACCTGTCACCATCTAGTTGGCAGGTGTAGCAACAGGGGCAACAGGAAAGACCCCCAGTGTGACAAGTGCCAGAGTAGGCCATGGAGGTGAAAGGTTTTTGTGAGGGGCCTGAAGAGAGTAGAATTCCCCTTTGGAAGGTGGGGGACAGAAACTTGGACCTGCAGCAACGCCCAGGTTTGAGTGGCAGTGTTGGGAAGCTGTGGGTAAATTGGTCCAAGGCCGATTTAGGAACCTGAGAGATTGTTCAACTCAAACCCTCTGTGTCAGCAACAAGCCCTTGTTCACACAGCGCTGGTGACAGGTGGTCTCCAGAGCCTGAACCCCTTCAAGGAAGACATTTGCTGCTCTGTTTATTAGTACCGATCACATCACAGTATAATGCATAGCTGATATGGTCCTTAGAAGGTGTACATTATGCCAGCCATTGGGTTAAATACTTTCCATTCATTATCTCATTGTAATCTTGAGATAAATACTGTTATATTCTTTCTACAGATAAGGAAACTGAGTCAGTGGTGGTGAACCTATGGCATGCATGCTGCAGCCTGTTTGTTATCATTAAAAGCTCTAAAAGCTTTGCCATTACTGATGTACATGAATGTGCAAAGACACAGAGCTGATAAGTGGCAGATCTCCTAGAGTCCAAACCCTCAGTCAACAAACTTCACAGTGCCGTCCCCAGCGTCTGCCTGCTCAACACAGGCAGCTGTAATTTTAAAAAAATCATGAAGCGCTATTGTACTCAAAATGTGCACCTCAACAGTCTGGCCCTTCCCTTTGAAATCCTTTCTGACTTCCTTATGTCTGCTGTCCACGGTAAAATTCTGAAAACCACACAATACTCCTCCCAAAGGGCCACATGAAGCATAACAATAATACTGTTACGCTTATTGGTGCCCCCTTACTATCTAAGGTACTTCGCATAGGATCTTTTCGTCTTTACTACCCTGAAACAAGTAAGTCTAGTGAATCTCCACATAAGGATAAAGAAGACTTAAATGACTCGCCCAAGGCCACATAACTAGTATAGCCAGAATCTGAACCTAATTCACTCTGGCTCCAAGATTTTCTGCCTTCCTTTCTCTTTTCAGAGGCATCTCAGACTCCAAAAAGTAATTTCTCCATTTTTCTGGCTCCCATCCTCTCCCAGAAGTTCAGAAGTTAATAATCTGTAAGGCAGGTTTCTGAAAATTCCAGTTCAAGTTTAATGTTTAAAGGAAACCTGCCCCTCAACCTTTTGAGATGCAAATAACCACCTTTAGTTTACTGTTAAATGTGTTATTTTGCAAGGAGGGGGATGGGGCTTTACAGCTGTAGAGCAACCTTAAAAGCTGATTCTCCTAAAAACACCCATAAGCAAATCCAATAAGATGCTATAAAATTATCCAGACATCCATATGTCAGAGGGCACTTGTTCTTCTGGATTTCGTTTGGTTCAGCTGATATTTGTTAAACCCTTCTTGTGTATCAGGAACTGGGGGACAAAATTTAATACCATTTAAAATTTTAGACCCACCCCTTGAGGATTTCCTCTTTCCCAATTCGAGCAGGACAGGTGCATAAACTGTGTAATCGCTCCCAGCCATGTTAGCATGGAGTGGCGGAGGTTGCCCGCAGGAACAGCTAGATCGAGGTGTGTGTCAGATGGGAAGGGTGTCACAGAGAACTGGCTCTCAGAGAATGAGCAGGCTGAGGGGAAGGAGGAAGATGGCATTTCATGCTAAGAGATTAGCATGTGTACTGCAGAGGTGTGGCATTGCCTGGTAAAACTGAAATTCAAAGAGGCAGGGAGAGGGAGGAGGCTGCAGAGCCCCTGTGGTGAGAGTCTGTTTGAGAAGCTTGGACTAGCAAGTAGGATCCCCGAGAGGGCGGTCTAGATCACACCTGCACCTCGAGCCTGGCACATTTCTGGGTTGGGAGACCACAATATATTTTCTAATAAATAGGATTGTTTTGTTACTGGCTTTTGGAGGGAAATCCAGGAGGAAAACAATACATGGCTAATAGCTTCCTCCATTGAACAACTCAGGAAACCCATGATTCCAAGAAACCTTTGACTTTTCCTGGATGAAACATAAGCCTCACCCTCCTAAGGCCACTTCCACATGCGCTGTGGAACCTTGGCTGGAGTGAAGAGCCGCAAGGGGTGTGGAAATCAGCCTTCACTTAGGATGAAGGGAGAGGTGAGAGAGATGTTTCTTCAAGGTCACGTGACTAGAGCCCGGTGGGGCTAGCATGGGGTGGGAGGGACACCTCTGCCAAGGCTCTGCTGAACACCCTAAAGTAGCTTGTCCAGCTGGAAACCTTACTTTCCCATGGCTCCTATCTCACCAATGGGCACAAGGTATAAGGTAAGGTAGCGCACTGATCTCCGCAGCAGCTGCCAGGGATCTTATTCATTGTCCCAGCTTCTTGTCAGGCCGTTACCATTTCTTTCAGCAGAGGAGCAAGAAAATTCAGGACTGGACTACCACGCCCCTGCTTCTTCTTTGCCCAAAGCCCTCCTGTGGCTCTGCTGTGGTCCCAGGCACTACACTGCCTGTGGGGACTATCCCAGGACACTGGAGAAAGGCTGATTCCAAGGTCTCACTCATGGAGATTCTGACTCCATGGAATCTGTTTCCTAATAAGCTTGCCAGGTAATTTTGAGGCAGTTTGGGGAAGCACAGATTCTCTGATTCAAACTCTTGGTTTGAATGGTGCAGGGATTACCTCCACCTTTACCTCTAACTACTTTTGGAGGAGTTTTTTTTTGTGTGTGTGTTTGTTTTTTTTGGTACCGGGGATCAAATTTGAGACCTTGTGCTTGTGAGGCAGAAGGCAGAACCACTGATCTAAATCCCCGGCCCAGGAGTTGGTTTTTTGAGACAGGGTCTTGCTACATAGTTTAGGCTCACTAGGTACTCCAGGCTGGCCTCAGGCTTGTTGTGAGGCAGAAGGCAGAACCACTGATCTAAATCCCCGGCCCAGGAGTTGGTTTTTTGAGACAGGTCTTGCTACATAGTTTAGGCTCACTAGGTACTCCAGGCTGGCCTCAGGCTTGAGATCCTTCTGCCTCAGCCTCCCAAGTGCTGGGATTACAAGTGGGAGCCACCAGCCTACTCTTCATCTCTAACTAATTTTAACAGTCGCTCATGCTTCCCACCGTATTGAATTGCTTCTGATTCTCCCTAATGGTGATGCTGATTCTTGTCTCCTTGTTTTGACCCAGGATTTCCTTCAGCCTAGAAGATCCCGCTTTACTCCCCACACACTAACATTTTGCGATGACTGAATTATATCCCCCATCTGACACATATGTTGAAGCCCTAAACCCCAGAATGGTGTTAGGAGATGGTGTCCTTGGGAGGTAATTAGGTCATGAAGATGGGGGCTTCCATGATGGGATTAATGTCTTTATATGAGGAGACACCAGAGAGCTTGCTGTCTCCCTGACAGTCCTCTCTCCAGTGTGTTAATGCCCAGCAAGAAGGTGGCCACCTGCAAGCCAGAAAGAGAATCCTCACCAGAATGGTACCTGGTACCATCCTGGCATCCTGATCTTGGACCATCTGACTCCAGAACTATGAGAAATTAAATTTTTGTTTTTCATACTAGTCAGTCTGTAGTATTTTGTTATGGCAGCCA